CGTCGTACGGACTTAGAGCGATTTTCGTCTCAGATATCGTATATACTTGATGTAATTTTGATCTTATGCATGACTGTTGGCGAGTCATTTCAATTTCATCGTTTAAACATCGGGTGCAATCATCGAACGTTATAGTTCGCGCTACGATGTTACTTTTGACACCTTTCGCCTTTTTTGGGTCCTTTTTACCATCCACCCTTAACGCATACATTTTCGCTCTGAGTCCGACGAATTCAGTCAATACTGCGCCATTATTTTCATCCTTCATTAAACCTGGCACTTTTTTGTTCGCAAGTAGTATACCATATACATTATCGGGAGAATAATCACTCGTGTCGAACCTAATGATATCACGCTTCATTTGTTCATAAACGTCATCACACTCGATGCGATATATGAGACTATCAGTGTCTGTGTACATAATTTCACATTTTTTGCGATACAGCGGTAACATATATTCGTGGTGAAATTCATACAAACAGACCTTCGATATATCGAGTATACACATTCCTACGTAGATCGGTTTGTTGAATTTCACCTCAAGTTTACGAATTTCAATTGCTATCAGATTTTCAGAAAATACACTTCTGCTATGAAAATTCGGCTTCGCGATCATTGCCTCTGCGCCGTATCGTCCATCCCATTGCGTTAATAATTTTACATCGGTGTGATTGCGCACGTTCTCCATGGTTTTGCCGAATACTGCATTATTCATTAACTTAAATAAATTTTTCTCAAAATCATTCTTCGCGAGCGTTCTAAATTTTGTGTTAAGCTCTATGTAATCGCGAAGCCATGGTGACTGTGCGAATTGCAATACGCGATGAATCTTTGTTACATGAAGACCGTGACGCATGCATTGTTGTAAATTGCGATAATGTATAACGTAACGTTTTTTGTCATACACAGTCGCTAAAAGTTTATCCTGCTGCTTGCCAGGTGGTTTATCACGCGTTGGACAGAATGATAGGTCAACGTGCTCGTCGTGCAGACGCTCCGGATATTCTAAGTCAACCTCAAGAACATAACCTGTAAGCGAATCCTGAGCAATCGCGCTAACGTTAAAGTCCGAGACGTTTTCGACCCATTGAAATTTGGCGTATGGCAACGGCTGACACATCGCCCATCCGTATAGATTATTAACATCGAAGTACATCAAATACGTAGAAGGTTTCGATGGATCGTGCGACTGCATATATTTGTTATTATACCTCGCGCGTACCTGCTGGAACATTGACTAAGACCGCCGCGTATACCGCGCTCGATAAACATCACCATATCGATGTCGGTAAGCAGTTCGAAATTTACGCGTGTATGTTTCAACATAGCGTCCCACGTAAAACCTGGTAAAGTATAATAATATGCAGGGTCGAGGCCGTAACTTTCAATACATTTATCGCGAAAATTTTCAAAAATGTCAGCTAACAGCAACACGTCCGTTTTTAAATATAGATCGCTGTATTCACCCAAGGTTTGAACAGAGAACTGTTGCCAAACGTTCACGGCGTGCGCGTAATCGTTTTCGGATACGGTGTCACCGGTCAAGGAACTGTAGAATGACTCGCGCGATGGTAAACGCGTATCCTGCAGCTTGTCGGCACAATCAATGTATTCGTATGGAAAAATCTCTTTTCGTATCAGTAACTTGAAATCATCTTCGGACAAATTTTGAAATTCGCATTGTAAAATTCGAAATTCATTTTTATTGAGAAAGAATGCTAATTTATCGAGACTGCTACTTAAAAATTTATAAGAATCTATGAACCGTAATTTTATGTTATTTCGCGAATCTGATCTTTCAGCGGTATCTTTAACATTTTTTGTAAATGATATATATTTTTCCTTTGTTGTTGGTAGTAATTCTATACTGCTTTCATATGCTGTAGCTATTTCTTTGATAATAAAATGTGAATCATAGCCTGATAAATTGTGGAAAACTATGGGAATAAAATATGAGTTTTTATAATTTAAATTGCACACAATTTGAATGCGCGGGACCCCTGTAACGACCGATTAAATGGCAATGGTCTCTTACTCGATTATCGTCTGGCGCGAAAGGCTTTTCACACACGTGACAATGCGTCGCGCTGTGCAATGTCTCCCGCTGTTCGCTTGACAAAGTTTCCATGGGGACATTAGCTACTAAAATTTTTTTTACGGAATTTGCTAAACTTCTCAGTTCTTCAACGAACCATGAAACGCAATCCGGATCGCGACGAAATCGATATTTTGATAGCGAATTGTCGTATGAATAGCGCACGTAATATCCTATGCTAAATACTTGATGATGATGATGATACGTGACCGTAGATGCTTCCTGATCGCCATCAGTTTTCTCGAGGATGCATTTTAAATCAGCGTAAACGACAAATGGAACTCGTTCCTTCCTATTATAGTTGTTATATAAAACTCAGCCACTTGTTGTCATTGCTCGGTAGTCGGATAGCGCAGTCGTTTATCCGTTGGCAATCTACTATGTGTAACTGTAATCTCTCGTTAGAATGAAAATAATGTAAACAGCTGCAAATAAAAAATAAATGATTTTTTTATTTTATTTTTTAAAAAGAATTTGCTTTTATTAATCATATACTTACCGATCGCAAATGTACTTTTGGTCATTATGTTTGTTCAATTGCTTGCTCATGAGCCAAGACAGATTCTTGATCCATGCGAAATGGCCCACATTGTCGTCTCGCGGATCTCGCAAATATAGTAAATTGACATGTTTCTCCTTTTTGTCGTCGGTGAGTCGTATCAGGAGAACGTTTAGCGTATTTTGTCTCTCGATAACATATACGTTAATAGACACGTCGTTGAGACGTTCGAATTTTGTTACGTCTTTTAACGTTATAGAAAATTCTATATTTTGGAAATTCAGCACCGTCGTATAGTGTGGGTAGGAAGATTCGCGATCCGCGTTTCTTTTGGCTGGGTACAGAGTGGCGACCACCGACCACGCGAAGCATGCATTGTCCATCGATCGCACGTTAATCACCGCTCTCTTTGTCATTATCTCTCGCGGCACTTCGAAGCGACATCCTGCGCGCAATGGATTACACTTTTTGATGTTTATTGTAAGATTCATGATTCGCGACAATGCCCACCCACTGTCACGTTCTTGAAACTCCTCCAAAGATGCCAACGTAGGTTCGATGACGTGCCGCTCGTACCACTCACGCAAGTTCGATGTTTGAAAGAGTTCGTAGTTTTTAGTATTAATACTTTTATTGGCACGTTTATCGCCCGTCGCAAATTCGCCGTTAAATATGGTGTTCACTTTTATACAGTTGTGTCTTTCTATTGTATCTTGCACTCGCTTGAGCACTACACTGCTGACGTCTTCTAAAAATCGTCGCGGCTTGATATAGTTCGCGTTAATTACCGCACCGGTTAAAATTCGATTTTTAAACGCCGCATCGATCTCTCGCCAAACAAAAGATCTTTCCACGTTATTGTCACTGTTATTGCTAGTGCTCGCGTAATCACCACCAAAATGCAGAAATCGTCTTTCTAATTGAGTCTTCGTACCCTCGAGTCGTGCAATTGTAGCGATTAGAGATTGCCTGCATCCAATGGAGAGCCGTGGACGCTTGACATGATTGCATTCTTCAAGCTGGTTAATTAATTCATTGCACTCTTCTATCCACGCGAAACACTCCCTTAAGTTAGTAATTTGGTGGGATTGATTCAACAGATCGCTCTCTGCTTGATTGAAATCTCGATCCATGTTTACAACGATTTACTAACAGTAAAGTAAGACGAGTTCGCTCTCGTAGATTTCAGCGTAATATAATCTGACACATTTCTAGACTGAATTCATTTTCGTCTGCAATTCCCTCTTTTCAGAGTAGAGCATTATGTGCTCATTTTTCAAAGAATTTTTAAAAAAACGCTCTACCCTCATAAAAGTTTACGAAAATACAATTCTATCAAGTTTCACTTACCTACTAACCTTGAAACATATTACAAAAACATGTTCGAATGTCATGTCCTTTCCAAAAAAAGAATAAAGAATTGAGGTTCTTTTATCAAGGAAGACATTGCGTTTTATATCATCGATTTCGATAGCAGCCAGATGCTGGCGCTCAATCGATTAATTATGAAACTTGACCGTATTTAGGTATTTAAAATAATTGTATCTAGAAAAATTACATTACGCTATATCTTGATCGAAAAACCGTTGGATATACCGGCGAATACTCTTTGTAAAACTTTTCATTTTATAACTATCTGTTTTTTTTTGTTCATGGCAATATTTCCTTTTTTTTGTGATATTTTTTGTTGTCTTGTACGTGCCTGCAGTCCCCAAAATCTGGGATGCCTTACTGCCACTCCGCATACGCCGCCACCGAAGAATCCCCCGCGCCCCGCATTCCCCTCGGAGTTCCCGAATTAGAACTCTCATATATATACTACTTACCTAACGATTCTCTCTCTCTCTCTCTCTCTC